AACTGCTGTGATTCATCCATTGATATGGCGGTGTCAGCGTCCTGTGAAAGAAACGCAGGCACTTGATTAACTTTGCTCGCTGGTCAGCTCCTGAGGTCCCACCGCGTCTGACTGCTCTGCCTTTTGACCAAGGCCAAGCCAGAAGAACAGCCAGAGGGAATGGTGCAAGAATTGGAGGAACCTAATAGAGAAGAAAAGCAAAGATCTGGGGTGGCCTCTGTTCACTTTCCTCAGACTATTACTCTCCAGACAAGTTCCGCTACACGTTTTAATTCCTGCCTCTGTATCATTGCCCACACTTAGGAAAAATTCTATTCCTTTAAAACCTCACCAGGCTTCTCCAAAAGGCTTTCTCTGACTACTCACTAACCTAGCTTGTTCCAAATGTTCCTTTACTTCATTTTCCCTTAATAAAATATTAAACGTTTGCTTTTGTTCTTTAGCTTTTTAAACTATAACTTATCCCTCCAATTAGACTGAGACTAAGGATATGAAGAAACTGTGCTTTCTGTTGAAGGCCTCATGGTGTTCAGATGGACTATTCTCCTAAGCAGGCAAGAAAAATGTACACAAAAGACTGGAGACAAAAACTAATACTGATCGAGTACTTTCCACTTTGCATGCTGATCACCCTAAACTCATTTAATCCTCATTCTAACCTTACGAGGCAATGACTATATTATCCCCATTTTAGAGATGAAGAAACCGAAGCCCAAACAGGTGGAATAAGTAGTTCAAGATCTCACAGAGCTGGTAAGAAGTCCGGCAGGGCATGAACCCCAGTACTGAGCACAGAGCCTGCTCTCTTACCCATCATGTCAGGAGAAACACCAAGACCAATCAATCCTACGCTCTAACTTTACACTGAAAAGTGGACTGTACACAGAAACAAGTCATGACCAGCCATGATACTGTTCTCTTTCCCGCCTCCTGATGATCACAAATTCTTCTGCCGACCAAGGCCATTTTTACCGCTTTTCATCATCACAAAGAGGTTAAACCTCCTTTACTTTGCTGCTCAAGTTGAAACTCATTTTTCATGCATACATCTTCAATCCCCCTTGATAATACAGGAGTTTCTCACAGGAAAGAATCATACCTTCCGAATTTTTCACATACTTTATTCTCAGCACCTTAAATACTGTTCTGCATACAGCTAATGCTCACTGAGTCAAAAGACTTTGGCGTTTAAATGAGCCAGTCAGATTTCTCTTTGTTTATTTGGCAAGCATTTATTGAATGCCTTTTATATACAAATCTTTCTTACCTTTCCACCTGAAAGGATACAGATGATGGGCCATTATTTCTCAGAAAAATGTATGATAGCTCCAGATCACAGAATAATGATGAAGTTCATTCGGCAAGTCAATTTTTATTAAGGGCCCACTGTATGCAAAGTATCACACCAGGCTGTTTAAGACACAAAATAATTCTGAGCTATCATCTCTAGCCTAAAAAAGGCCTGAATAACCAATGCCATAAAAATCAAAAGCCCACACAACATCTTTTAGTGTGTCGTATAGTTCATTATGCTTCTGAAAGTTGGCTATGCTTACCACTATACTACCTCTACGTCTTCATCGCACTTTTGAATTGTTGTTAATCATTGTTACCTGACTGCTTACTCTAGAGAAACTATGGGGACGTGTTCTGAAACACTTGGGGAAATTTGCTGCAAGTGTGGACACAGAAAAGAGTTAAATATCTGCAAAGTGGAAACTGATTTGAATTCTGATGGCAGACTTAGAAAGCTAAGTCTTTAGAAAATAATGTCTCTATAAAAGAGAAAAACAAACCAAAACACAAAAACGAAAGCAAACAAAACCCCAAACCCACCTTACTTGCTGGAATATATTATGCAGGACACCTAAAAGGCTGGTACGTAGAAAATTATCCTATTGAGACCGAAGGGCAGGGACAAGGGTGTTCTACAAAACCAAACATGCAAACCTACAGGCCACTTTCAAACAGGCTCAAATCAAGCAATCCATCGAAAACAAAATACTTGTTAACAAATTCCCTCGAATTACTGCTCAGACCAGGGACAAAAACATTTTAATGCATCTGACACTGGAACCACACACATACACAGCATAATGGCAATCGCCTCAAGGCAGCTTTGAAATGCTGCCCTCACTACAAATGGTCTAAGTTCTAATCATCTGTCTCTATCTGATCGGAAAAAACTTTTCCAACATGTCAACTGCGACCTCTCTGCATCTGACCAGTCGAACCAGGTAATTTTCACCTCTGCCCCTTCCCTCAAGTTAACTGCTTCCTCTTCAGGTTTCTGTGTCAGAAAAAGAGAGTCCCCATCTAGCTACAGTCTCTGTGGCAATGCACAAAGTCCACGTCAGTTAGTCTCCTCCTCCTCAGTCTGCTTCAGACACCCCCTGAAAGGATGAAGCTCAGAGACCTGAGCCAGTTCTAACGAGCTGTCAAGTACCTGCAGACCCCCCCACAGGCGCCTGGCTTACATTAGTGGTGAAGGGACGGGACAGAAGCTCCTCTCGCTGTCTCTCCTGATGTTCCCTTGTGTATCTCCGATGCTGGAAGTTTCTGAGAGCACTCTGCAGGTGCTGGACATCATACTTTAACTGGTCAACACGACTGGAATTGATAGAGAGAGAGATTACATTCCAGGAACCCAGGACAGCACAATTTGAGGTGGCCAGGAAAGAAGACATTTCCTTATTTCTCCCTGTACCACTCCATGCTATTCCCCCTCTCCCCCAATAATCTGATTTTGATCAATGATGTTGAAAATAAATAAGTAGCCTGTGGTTAGAGGAGGGCTGCAGCACACGAGATTCCAGCAGCTTTACTTAAATACCTGCTGGTCTCTGATTCTGGATGCATGACAGGGAACAGGTGACAGGAAGCAGGTCTGATGACCTCTTCCTGACCTTCTATGGATTCTATAGCTCTCCTGGAAGAAGCCCAAGGGCATCTTTGGAATAAAGCATCAACAAAGTTTCATAAAACTTTTGGGAGCAGGGGCTGGGGTGAAGATGGTGAGAGTGGTTTCATTTTAATTTCATGGGGGAATATCAAACATTAGATCAGTATTTCGTTACAAACAGGCTGATTGAAGTGATTAAGAGTAAGATTCATTTCAACCCAAGAATGTAGTGGGAATCAAGGGGCAGAGTAACCCCCTGGTAGCTTTAGGCTTAAAGTGGCCATGGATCTGGTCAGAAAAGCAGTACTGGAGGCAGAATTTCAAAATGACACCAATGAGGTAAGGAGACAGAAGACTTCGGAGCCACTAACCTCACAGACTTTACTTTGATAGTTTTACTCAAATAAAAGTGTGCCCTTTATGGGGACTTTATGTTTGCACAGTCTCAGTTTTTCAGTGTATAAATGGATTTTTAGACTATTTTATAGTTTCCCTGGGAGAAAGGCCTGTCTTGGGGCCTGGGGTGTCAGAGCACTCACAGTTTAGCATTCTGTCTTTTGTTAGGGGGCTCCTTGCTGGACAAAATCTCCAGACGTTCTAGATGGCTGAATATCTGGTCTATGCTTGCTTGGATTTCATTTTCTACTACTGCACAAAAAAGAAAAAAGAATAATTGCTGGAAAAGAGATAGTGAACTTAAATTAGAATGATAAATCAAACACCTTTTTTCCATATCCAATAGACTCAAAAATATGTATTTCAAAAGGAAAAAAAATACATACACTAATGAATAATGGGGGGAAAATCAAGTTATACTAATTGACTGTAAATTTTGTTTCAAATATGTATATATGTGTATATATATATATAACTATTAATGCCACAACTATGCCAATTTTTTAAAAATCTGAGTGTAAATCTGTAGAATTCAATCTCTTGCCTTTAGAAAATAAAATGAACATTTGTGTCCAAATAAAATTTTTAAGCAAAATGAAGTATTTTCTGATACAGAACGAGGTCTCTTTTCCTTTGAGATTCTTCTCAGGTATGGATTATAAATATAAAAAGACTGCCTATTCAATTCCCTACAGTAATGTGGTTTTAAAAAAAGCACAAAGGGGAAGATTAGTAATTGAAACACAGAGAAGAGCTCCCTTAAGGCTTTCCATAAAATGGGTGGGCTGATGTTACAGTGCCAAAAATAGACCAAATATCAGTAGGAAAGGCCCAGGAAAGAATCCGCAGAGGTAAAGATATGATAAATACAGTCATTTTCCTTATCTTTTGTGATAAACAGTCAAAATGACCTCTTTTCCATTTCTAATCATGTAACAACGAGTGTTGGGAAGGCAAACAAAGTCCACGGACAGAAACTAAACTGTGCACAAAAGAAGGCATCCAGATTGCTTCTTGCCCCATAAAGAAAAGCCAGCAATGTCACCTTCTTAGATTAGCCAACAAATACAGATTAGAGCAAGGTGGGGCACAGAAGCGAGAGAAGAGGTGCCTTTGAAAGGAGACAGAAGAAATGGCTTGGTGAGAGCCAAGCAGTGAGGTGAAGACAGTTCCTGCAGTGTGTGGGTAACCAGTTGTATGTGCACAACCGACTCAGAAAAAGGACCTTTTCTTATAATAGAGAAGAAACTAAAAAAACACAACGCAGCACTCTTCTCAAAAGAAATTGTGGTGTGGGAACTAAGCTAATTAATACTGCTATTCGTTTCTGAATAATCCTCCTGAAAAGCCACAGTTCTCAGCTCAGAAGCAATGACCAATTCCAGTTAAACATCTCTGACTTTTTATGGAGCAAATTCCTCTAAGGACGAGGTAATTAGATTAAGACAGATGGAGGGGAGAACTTCCACTCCCACAGGGCCATGTCAGGTTGAGTGGAGGGGTAATGGGGGATGAGACTGGTGGGATTCCAAAAGGCACAATCAGGGAAATCAGTGACTGTGCCATGGGGTTTTCTGCACCCTAACAACACGACTCATTCCACACTGAATCATTAAGCCCCCGAGGCAGAAATGCAGCCAGGAAATCCAGCCCATTAGCACCATGTCATCAGAGAAAGGACTCTGGTCCCCATAGTTAATTACTCACAGTGCACAGACTGCTTGTCTGCCGTCTCCAGGCGTCCCATGTGAGACTGGATCTCGTGGACCTGCCTATCAAAGGAAGAGGGAGGAAATTAGTGCGACAGGAGTAATCAACAGTGCTTCAGTCAGGAAAGACAAATTTTCTGATGCCAACATGTAACTGATTTAAACTGACAGCATCACTTAACTGTAAAATGTGTTATGTGGCACTTTAGGCCACATGTTTTGGCATGGTTTATAATATTTTAACATTAATAATAATAATAATACTGACAGGCAACATGAGTGCTTACCACATCTGAAACATTCTGCAAAGTCAATAATAATACTGACAGGCAACATAATGAGTGCTTACCACATCTGAAACATTCTGCAAAGTCAATAACCCTATGAGGAAAGTACTATTACCATTCTCATTTTATAACTGAAGTCCAGCAAGGTTATGTGACTTGTTCAAGGATACATAGCAAAAGATAAACCTTGATCTGGACCCAGCCAATCCCACTCTCTGTTGTTTGACCCAACATGCTGAACACTGGTCTGTACCAGGGAGTCAAAGGGCAAGAGAGATATAATCCTTGTCCTTAAGAAACAATGTAATTAGGAGTGACAGGCCAGAAAGACAAGAAAAGTCCCATGAAGATTTAAGAGAACAGTAACATATATAAGCAAGTGTAAACAAACAGAAAGCTGAGGAGCTAAGCACAGTGGTGCCAAGGAAAGACAAGTGAACAAAAGGGCTGGGGTTGAGAAGAGTAAGCCGGAGGAAGTTTTGTGGGTGAAGGGAGTTCTGAGCATCATTTTGAAGGGAGACATGATTTGGCGAAGGAAGATAAGAAAATGATATGCAAAAAGGTATGTAAGGCATGTCATGAGGATTATAAGCAGGCTGGCCTGTCTGAAAGAGAGTCAGAGTCAAAGGGGAGAAGGGGATGGGCGATTAGTTGGAGGAAACCACTGGAGGAAGGCCCTCAAAGATAGGAATCTCCTGCCGGGTAAACATCTTTCCCTGGAAATGAGGCAACTGCCATCTCAATGGAAATGTAACATTGTACCCTGGACCTCTGGCATGGTCCCAGGCATCGGGCCCCTAGAGCATTCCCTGGAGGCTCCTCAGGGCTTGGCCAAGGTCACCCTCAGAACCGTTCCTTGTGGCCCCTGGGATTAGTCCTTGGAATTCTGCTTATGCTACCCCCAACAACTGCCTCCTGGTGCTTACAGCCTCTCTATGTTAGAGCCACATGGAAGGGGCCGGCTGAGTTCTTATATCATCTCCACCTCTTGAGTGAAAGGTCTGCAATCACTTTCTGCCATAAGCCCC